ATTGTTTAATTTTGTTTAATTTATACGAGCCTTTCATTAATTAATATGAAATAAAATTATATAAAACTAAATATAAAAAGGTTGGAGGCGAGAGAGGTACGGCGGCAGCGAGAGAGCCGGTGAGAGAGAGCCAGCGTGTCGCATCCATGCGGCGACTGCGAGAAAGCGGGTCGCGTCAACCATCGCTGTCAGACTGTGTCTCGGCACCTGCACATAGAAAAAATATAATAAATTATTATATTTACTATTTTATATATATATTTTTGACATATTATATATACTTACAATCTCGGTTCCTCATATTTGACATTCTCATAATACCTGAATGATTTTACTGCGTTCTCCATTTTTATCGTCTGTCACTTTTTCACACTGTATTACACTTGTAACCACAGCCTATTTTCGCTGACATTCGCTGCAATCCCTGATCATCGGTGCTGGACCGTCAATATGCGTTCGCATCCACAGCCGATTGTAATGTTCGAGGCAGCAACAATATGTCTGAACCTCCGGATCCACCTTGATGTGCTCCGGAAGCTTGTCCCACAAATGCTTTACGAAATAGCCGCACTTTTGCAGTAAAACAATCTTCGGAATATATTGTAACTGTTCGGCACTTAAACTGAGAATGTCGGAAGCACTTGATAGCATTACAAACATCTTGAATGAAGAGAGCGTGCGCTCGCCAGTGGTACTATGGCCCAGCAGCGGCATCGGTCCTCATTATATATCCCGATCATCTCTTTATTCTTCAACGTGCGATAATGCAATTGTTAATTCGCAAGAAATATTTGCGATATCTACCCGCCGATAATTCTCCGAAATATTATCCGAGTCACAAGACACGTCGCAACCTGCGAAGACATGTCGCGAGGTTGCAGGCAGCAACTTGTTCGCCCCCCATACTTTCACCGCTGATATTTCTTAGAAATATACGTATCAACCCGCTTGATTGTCGGCGCTCAAGCCTGGATTCTGCGGCAGCCATTAATAATTCGCAGACTTTTTACCTTATCTTATTTTGTAATAAATATCTAATTGTCGGGGTTTACCAAAGAATTGGCGGCAGCCATTAATAATTCGTAGAATTTGATTACCCAGAATTTTTACCTTATCTTATCTTGTAATAAATATCTAATTGTCGGCGCTCACCAAAGAATTGGCGGCAGCTATTAATAATTTGTAGAATTTGATTACCCAGAATTTTTACTTTATCTTATCTTCAGAGAAAATTTAGATGCCGCTTATATAAATATCTCACAAGCTTATCTTAGATTTTCTACGAAAACTTAGATATTGCACAAGCTTATCTTATCTTCAGAGAAAATTTAGATATCGCTCAAAGACGCCGCTTATCTTATCTTGTTTATGAAAACTTAGATATCCGCTTATCTTATCTTGTTTATGAAAACTTAGATATCGCTCAAAGACGCCGCTTATCTTAACTTGTTTATGAAAACTTAGATATCCGCTTATCTTATCTTGTTTATGAAAACTTAAATATCGCTCAAAAATGCCGCTTATCTTATCTTGTTTATGAAAATTTAGATATCCGCTTATCTTATCTTGTAATAGATATCCGCTTATCTTGTTTATAAACATATCAGGTAACATAATCCCCTTATCAGGTAACCTGAGCTGATAAGATAAGGTTATCTGCTGATAAAACCCCCTCCCCCGCGTCACCCTTCTCGCCCCCAATTTCCCCCCGCCCCTCACCCCTCCTTATTGCCCCTGATCTAGAACTCTTCTAGTATACTTACTAACTCCGCTCGCGCATTCAAGATCGTTCAGACGAAAGTTAGACAAGACCAAAGAAGACTCACAATTAGTGTATTTATCCGTCACTGACGACAGTGACAATAATAAAACATTAAGTGACGGGAATTCTTCGCCTGAGAAAAAGAAGGGTTTGTTTCATTGGCGCAAATTATAATAATGGAACTCGAAAAATTATATTACGTTCCTTCGCATTACGCTGGTTATTCCGCAACGGAGAATTTATCTCGAGCTGCTAAACCGAATTTTACGCGTAACGATGTCGTCGAATGGCTTAAATCTCAGGATGCATATACGCTACATCGTCCGATGCGTCGAAAATTTCCACGTTTACATTATAACGTGTCAAATATCGACGATTTATGGCAAGCAGATTTAATCGATATTCGTAATCTCAAGAGTTATAATGACGGATATTCTTACTTACTGGTTATTATCAATGTTCTTAGTAAGTTTGTTTGGGTAGAATCATTACGTGACAAAACAGCTACCTGCGTGACAAAAGCCTTCCAACGTATTCTTTTGAGAAACAAAGAGCGTCTACCTGCAGACGGATAAAGGTAAAAAATTTATAGCTCAGCCTGTACAAAAGTTCTTGAAAGAAAAAGACATTTGTTTTCGCGTGGCGCGTAATCTCGATGTTAAAGCAGCTGTAGTTGAACGTTTTAATAGGACACTCAAGGAACGGATGTGGCGTTATTTTACTCATAAAAATACGCGACGTTACATCGATGTTTTACAGAATATCGTTTACGCTTACAATCATACCCGACATACCTCTATTAAAATGTAACCCGCTGCCGTCACGCAGGAAAATACCCGTATCGCGCGTGAAAATATGAATCGGCGATGGAAAGTCAATGACGACGACGACAACGACAACATCGAGAAGAAAAAAAGAAGCACAGCGATAAACAAAAGGCTAAATACAATCAGGGAGATCTCGTGCGTGTCAGTAGGGCAAAAGTAGCAAAGTAGTCTTTGAAAAAAGATACGAAGCAAAATGGAGCGAGGAAATATTTCGAATTCACCGCGTTCTCGAATGGAGAAAACCTCGCGTATACGAATTAAGCGATTTAGCGGGTGAGAATATAGACGGCATATTTTACGAACAAGAATTAACTCCGGTCAATAAAGATTTGCAAGGGGAAGAATTTATCGTCGAGCGGGTAATAAAAAGCAGGAATCGCGGTAACAATAAACAATTGCTAGTTAGTTTGCAAGGATATCCCTCAAAATTCAACTCTTGGATACCCGCTTCGAGTTTAAGATCTTTGAATTAAAAAAAATGAAGAAGGATAAATTTTATATGATTCTCCCGATCAACAGTAGCATGCGTTACTTCCCGGAAAATACAACCACGTGTTTCACCACTGAATTACCCCAACGTATAGAATTGCACGGGCGTTGGGAAGTAGCGCTCACGGAGATTCAGTTTCCGTGTAGTTTTTTACATATACGCGATAATGAAGGAATAATCAGATTTATCGATATCGACGAAAACAATAAATCAATTACGGTTATGAGATCTCAAGTACTCATGGGTATTTACTCGAGAATGCAAAATATTGTCGCTGGTGTAAATTTCGCAGCTAAATCTGTCGATTCGCATATTGTTTTTCATTACGGCGATTTCGTGGGTGGTAAAGTTTTCATGAAACTTAACTGTAAAGAAAATAAAAAATTGCGCTCAATAATTATATTAATAATACGAGAAAAAAGGTTAAAATATTAGCATCAAAAAGTAGTCAAATCGAAAAGTTGCACTAAGTAAGTGACAACATAATATATAATATTTAGATAAATTACCTATAATGATACAAATGTATAATTATTGCTTTATTTTAAAACGTTTATAATATATACAATAACAAAATAAATTCAGTAAAATATATATATATATATATTTATTTATCTTTATATTTAAATAACAACAATAACTATGTAATTAATTTAAACTGGAATGTATATACATTGTAAAGTTATTATATATTGTTATAAAATATTTAGATAAATAGATATATATAATAAAATAAATTATTTATCTATAAATAATTATTTAATTCAAATATATTATATTTAAACGTATATTCAAAAAAGGTAATATAAGGCACAAAAAATTAAATTTAGAAAATTAAAAATTTAAAAATAAATAAAAATTTTACATTTAAATTAAAAAATAAAAGTAAAAAAAATGTGGTGTACAAAAATACTTAGCGCTGTTTTTTATTGTAGCCCTTTGGCCCTTTGACTACGAAACGTCCTTAAAAATAATGATCAGTAACGAAATGTGTATATTTTTTGTAACTCTGGGGAAACCTCATGGTATCATCCGCCTCCGGGTAGAGGCGGGGGTATGTGGGACTCCCTGCCCCGCCTGGCCGGTCCGCCGTAGCGGGCCGGAGAGTCGGGATCGGCGAGCCGGAAAGCCGGGACAGGACCTACCGCACTAAAACCCCAGAGGATGTCCTTCACGGGCGTTATACAGGGGACGGTCAGGATGCTGGAATCCCATGCCGTCTAGCCGCCCCCCGCCTTATCCCTCCTTGAGAGGATGCCGCGGAAGGCGACACCCTCCCCCCGTCATTGTACGGGTTCTTCGCGGTTGCGGCGCAGGGCGACATCGACCCACGCCCTCTCAAAGAGTTTGAGGGGCGGAGCCATGGTTCGAGAACTCCCGCTCGAGCCATCGCCCCTTGCCCCCTTAGTGTCGCAACCCCCGGACCCCCAAGAGGGTGGTCCGGTTCGGCGGTCACTGAGGAAGCCCTCATCAGGGGGTCCCTCTCAAAAGGAGAGAAACCCCCTTCCGTGGACGGTGTTGCCCTCCCACCGGTGCCTTATGGCTCCCGGTAAGAGGGCCCCACGCGTCACGTCCCGTCTGTGAGAGGGGGCCAGGCACCCATGCGGAAGGACAAGTCCGCCTGCAGGGGATACGTGGCCCCCCCTCCCTAGGTCCCTCCGACTGCGGCCTCCCTCTTTCCCTTAGGAGTCAGAGTTCGCCCGCAGCCAGGGAGGCCCCTCCCTCTCGAAGGTTGTGGAGGAGGGGAGGGACGCCTAAGCGTCCCCATGTCCCCCCCGACACCCTCACCCGGCGTCTGACGACGCCGGGGTTTTACGGGTCCCCCTCCCCCGATCCCCGCCGCCGCCCGCGATCGCAGCCTTAGCCATGACCACCGACGACGGGGAAGAGGGAGGTAGACCCCCACCCTTAGGCCCCGCAGATGGTGCCGCAAGGCACCCCCGCTTCCCAAGCCTATGATGCTGCCGAGCCGGCCGGAGAAAGTCCACGCATAGTGGACATCTCGGGCCGGATCGGCACTCCGCCGCCTTGTGGGCAGGGGAGCCGCAGCGGTAGCAGCGGCTACCCCTGTCCACCCGCGAGGTGCATCGGCGCCAAGCATGCCCCGGGAATAGGCACCGATAACACCTCGCGGCCCCCATGGCGTTTGCGACCGTCGGCCCACCGTCGCTGTTGACGCCTTTCCCCTTCTTCTCCTCACCACAAGTGGTCGTCCTCCCCCCACCATTGGTGAATTTGTCTCCCCTCCTCCTCCTTCCCCTCGTTCCCCTCACCACCCTTACCTACTCCCCGGTGGCAACGGTGTTGATCCCCTCCTTTAGGGTCCCACTGACCTTTTCTCCCCTCCATTAGCTCGCCGAGGCGTCTCTCGACCAGCCCCACCCGGTCCGCGGTGGCAGCCAGTATGGAGGATATTTCCTCCAGCCTGTCCCCCACCGCCACCGGTTCTGGGGCCTCGATCTCCATCACCTCGGCCTCCTCCGTTTGTGTCCCCTGGTCCCGAAGTCCCCCCCCGGGGCCAGGGGCCCCATCCGTCTGCACCCCCTGATCCCGGGATCCCTTTCCGGGGTCAGGGGGCGCCCCTGTCTGTATACCCCGATCCCGGAACTTTTTTCCGGTATCAGGGCCCGTGCCAACGCCCTTTTCGGCACATCTCTCAAGCCGGGCGCATTCACGGCGCGTTAAGTCAGCGACTATATACGCCTGATCCTGCGCCCAGCCCTACACGAACCTGGTGAAGCGCTTCACCTGATCCCTCACCGAGTCCGTGTCCTTCCTCTTCAGTAGGAGGTCGATGCCTCCCACAAACTGCCCGATCCCCGACTTCACCCTCTCCAGGATGTCGAGGGATCTATAAAATTGCTCCGCATTGGGGGTCTCAGCATCAGCGTACTCCCAATACGGGGCAATGTCTCTCCACTCGAGACCTGGCAGCAACGCCGCCAGTCTCTCGCCGTCCGAGGTCTGGGGCTCCACTCCATTGGAGCCCCAGGTCTCGCTCCTTCCTCTGCCTTCAGCCCGTCGCTCGTTGACGACGGGGCGGAAGCCGGGACTGTACCCCCCTCCCCGCCGGGCCCTGGGGCATCCGATTCCCCTGGGCCGGTACGTTTACGCTTTTTATGGCGTCCCATCATGTTTAAGTTTTTGGTTTTTTTACTTGGTGGCCTTCCAAGGGTGGCGAGCCGAAGCCCTGAGGCCCCACCAGGCCTGTTGTACCTCTACAAGAGGTACTGATCGCTCTTAGCACCCCTCGCAAGGCTATTCCCTTGCGAAGGGTGAGCCCCCCCACCACGACAAGGTGGCGATCAACGGGGGGGTCCGATAAAAATTCCTGGCGCGGGTTGTTCAGCTTTTATCACGCCTGTTTTGTTACAATTTGTTGTAGCTTGTACAATAGTTTCACTACGCGGTTTTAATAGAATCTTATTATACGGGCGCAATTTTATTACAGCGTTTCCTATTTGCAGCTCCTGTTTCCTATAATTGCAAGAAACTTTTTTTTTTGCAAGAAATCTATTCCTATTATCCCATCATATTCCATCGGGAAATCGTCTTTCAAGACGTAGACCGCGTGTTTGATTTTTCGGTCGTCCAGATCGATGGTCGCGAAAAATTTTCCTATTGTTCGCTCCTTGTGCCCGGTTATGCCAATCAAAGTAATTTTATCTTTATAAATTTCGGTTTCGCCTTTTAATTGTTTGACTTTTATTAGAGAAACAGTAGCACCGGAATCGTAAAGCATATTAATCTTGCCGGTTTTTACTTCTCGTATCGGTAGGGTTATCAAGTTCAAGCTTGCCTTCTCGCGAAACGTCGAACGCACGTGCGTTACCTGATATTCCCGTGCGCGTGTCGTCTTATTCTTTTCCTCGTGTCGCTCGTCCTCGTCGCTGTTTTGCTCGAAATCAATATCACCTTTTCTCGTTTTCGGCTTCTTACGACTTTCGGTTACATTAACGTTACGCGATTTTTTATTATCGTTTGTTTTATCGTGGCTTGATGTCGTTTTTGGCCGTCCATTTAAAATCTAGCACTCGTCGCGGTTATGCCCACGCTTCTTGCAATAGTTGAAAAATTTTTCGACGGTATTCGCACAAAAGGGTCCTTCCGGTTTAGGGAGCAAGTACTTGCTGCTGCGACATTCTCGTTCATAGTGTCTCGATTTTCCGCATTTATAGCACTGCACGGCGTTTTTTGATGGTCGCAACGGCGCTTGATCATATCGATTTCGACTTGAATAGTAACTTGATCGCGATGCGGTTGTGCCCTTTACCTTTTCTTCGGCGGTTGCGGCAGTTATGGGTTCCTGTAGCGTTCGGTAATTTCGAGAACGAATGAGCAATTGTATTTCGTCGCGTAGTCCTATTTGGAAATTTTGCAAGGCTTGTTTTTATATGGTACTTAGAATAATCCGCTTTTCGATGGAGAAGTGATCTTCTCCCTCCGTCATGGATTCGTATAATTCCATAGCTAAAGTGTCAACGCGCGTTCCGAAAGCTTGCGCGCCTTCATTTGCCTGTTGCTTTAGAGAATTAAACTCTATCTACAAGTGCGTAGTGCTTCGCCTACTCTGATACGAAAGTTCCAATTGTTGCTTGAGTTCGTCATACGTCTATATGTCTCGCGTTTGGAAATCTAACATTGCCTTGCCCTTTAATTTTGTACACAATAAATAGCTCCCACTCTCTCTTGTTAGCAGGATGTATATTTTTCATAGCATAAGTGCATGCGCTTAAAAATTCTTGTAGTCTGTGTTGTACCGTTAAATTCCGGAATCATTTGTCGTGCTTCTTTTAATGAAATAAAATACTCATGAGGGCCTTGTCGGTGTCTAACGTCATTCTCCGTCCGTCCGTACATAAAGTCATATCTTTTATTGTCGTACTCTGGATATCGCGTTTCTCCCTCGAGTGTACGTGAGTGTGTATCCCGGCGAATCTGACACCGTTCGTCAGCGTATGCGTTAGAATTACGAATCTGTTCGCGCAATATATTTATTTCGGTGAGCATTTCCCTACGTAACTCTCGCATGCCTCTCATTATTTCGCGTAGCATAGGGTTTTCTATTCCTGCCTCCCTATAATTAAGTGTTTCGCACCTCGGCTTCTGCAACGCGTCCATCTGTGTATCGCCTAATATCGCGAGGGTTATCGGTTCCTATATCGCGATTAGTGGGTGGTGTATGTACATCAACTTCCACGAGTTGATTATTGTCACGAGTTATTATATCGTGAAGACGGTCAATCTCGCGGTCGATGGCACCCTCGGACACATCCATAACACCGTTCGGCGGTGTTCGCAACATGTTTTGATATTCGCTCGAATCAAAAATACTGCTGTCATAGGACGTAAGCGAGAATTCTCCGCGTTGCGACACGTTACTAGAAGTTTGACTTACGCGTACTTTAATTTCTTTTCTTAATTCTTTATCGACGTCGATTTCTCCTTTTTCAAATAAGCTTTCATCAAAAATATCAAACGGAAATTCGCGTTTGGTTTTCCCGTGAGTAAATAATTCTGAGTCGCTTTCGCTCGAGTAATGTGCTTCTAATTTTATTTGCACCGTTTCGAGAATTTCTAAAGTCAGTGGCAATGCCTTTATTGTCTGCTCGACTGAGTCACTAAACAGCCACGATTTATTCGCTATCGGTTGCTGAGGGGTTTCGAGTCCCTCCAACATCCACGCAATTAATAAAATTCGGACTTACAGTATTACGGCTCGCATCGTTACGCTCTATACGGGTCGGCTGCTACTGCTGCAACTTGATCACTCGTGGGCTGATAACGGCTGCTCCGTGTTGGTGATAGATACGGCGGGTCGTCGCTCGTGATGATGCGCTGCCCGTGAAGTGGTCGTAGGTCGGCGTTGTCCTTGGACGTCGGCGATTCTTTTCGATTCTCTGCTGCTTATCACTCGTTACACTGCTTATGTTGTCCGCTCTCTCTTTCTCTTGTTCTTGTCGTGGTTTCTGTTTGTTCCCGTCAGTGTTACTGACGTGCCCGTCTAACACCTTTTATAAAATTTTGTGTTTTTACAAGTCTTCGCCTTGTGAGGGAACCTCGGCGATCTCCGGCAATCCCACCGCTGCCACCAAAATTGATGTGCCTCGGGTGAGACACAGAAGGGATGTCGCCGGATTGGGAAGTGGACTTCCGAATCGTCGGGGTTTCTCCGTAGATTATAGTCTTGTTAGATGTAGAATTCCGTTTCTTTATTCAATATATATTAGTATACAAACTTAACAAGACTCAGCGTATAGTTATTTCTAAACGTCTGGTAACTTCGTTTCTCTTTTCCGCTCGTTTGACGCGACTCTAGATTTATTCGAACGTTAGTCTTCGACGTTAGTCTTCTTAACGGCTCGTCTGATTGCGAGTCGGGAGTTATCTTTGATGTGACTCGGTTGGTTGGTCTAATTGAACTCGCTCTCTGTTCACTCCCGAGTTCTTACGTGAACTCGGTTTTTCGTTATTTCGTTTGGAAAGAGTGCCTGGCGACAGGCACCCCGATTGGTGCATAGTTTTTTCTTACGCGGCTAGATTTTGAGCTAAAAGCTGTTCGAAAGATGAAGCTCTTAGCTTGCGTCTTTGCGGTTTCCGGCCCGCTGCTGTATCAGCGGTCTCCACGCGGAAAGTGTAGTAATTCTATATTTTATATCCGTTAAACTTATAATTATAGCCTTTCGGGCTATAACATCATATATATTGTATGTATAAGTGTTTCAATATTTATCTTATTGTAACCTCTTACCACCTGGAGTTACTCAAATATTCATAGAAATTTATGATGAGTGTTCCTTCATGATGGATGAATTGATTGCATGGGGTCACATAGAAATTCCGCCGCAAGTTTTTCAAAAGGGAGATACACACGAAGATTGGTATATGCTTAGTGGAAAACAGGGAGAAAATCAGGAAGGCATGATCAATTTAGTTTTTAGTTACATGATACAAACAATGAATATTATTTACCTTATCAATTATGTTTATATCATTTTTTATGTTTAAAAAATTACAGATTGTCTTAAATTATATAGTTATTTAAATGTAGAATTTAACTACCATTGTAGTCTGCATGCTTATGATATTTACTATAATACTTTGTTAAGGAATTATTTTATCTTCAGAAATTTTATTATTTTTTTTTTTTTTCATTAAATTAATCTGTTGTAGAATAAGTGTCACCCATACATGAGTTTCTCGATAATGATGGTTCCTTCTGCAACGCCGATGTTCGGCGTGCCGTATGCCCCGCTAAATGTTTATATACCACCTCCAGCTGTTGCTACACCAACAGTTGCACCAAGTTCTTTGCCAAATGCTGAGATCGAATTGAAGCAGGTATTTAATACATATATCAATAAATGTTCTTTTTGTTATGTTCACATAATTGTAATCATATTTTACAGATTGCAGAAATGTTTCCAAACATTGACAAAGAAGTTATCAAATCGGTATATGATGCTAATCATGATAAAAAAGATGTTACAATTAATTCGTTACTTCAAATGTGTGAATAAGTCTCAATTTTTACAGTTTGCCATATGTCACTTTATCGTATGTTCTACAAAATTGTATTCTACATGTTCTCCATATTTGTTACTGGTTGTAAAAATACATGAATTGTTACATATTTGTTACTGGTTGTAAAAATACATGAATTGTACATTGTACATTATACATATAAGCGTAATATGTGTAAATAAACTAATTCATATTTAACTTTAAAATAAAAAATGTAACGAATCATTGTCATTGTACATGTAAATTATAGTTATATGCAAGTTATAGTTATATCAAGTTATAATTCTATGTACAAGATTTTAAACCTGAATTTGTTTAACCGAGATATTATCTCAACATTCTTAGATTATCACATAGATCACAAAATACTGTTTTACATTGTTTCAATTTTAACTCATCTTCTCGCAAATGCACACTGTTTTACATTGTTGCAATTTTCACTCATCTTCTCGCAAATGCACACTGTTTTACATTGTTGCAATTTTCACTCATCTTCTCGCAAATGCACACATATCGTATGTACACATATTAAAATATCCAACTTTTTTTTATCAATATAAGCGTAATGTGTCTAAATAAACTAATTCATATTTAATTTTAAAATAAAAAATGTAACGAACTTTCTTAACAATGTTAACTTAGAGCTACGCATGGATCATTACAAAGAATATCAAGAAATGCGAGACGTGTCAAAAATCACTGCATCCAGCTTAGCAAAATAAAAATTAAAATCTTTTAGTCAATATTGATACCACAAAGATCTTCTGCTTCACCGAGCAATGTCAAAAATCGTATTTCGAAGCGAGCTCTCTAGCAATATGGCAACCTTTGCATACCTTCTCCCAACCGTGCTAAAAACCCATCTAGCGGATCAACAGTTTGCGTTGTTGGTTCTTTTAAAGCTTGCAACGTCTTTTCCTGCTCAGAAACGCCAAGTTCGGACAGGGGAGCGTTCAATTTAAATATTCTAATAATTCTGATAGCAAAACCACAGTATATACAGTAGCGCAACTCTCTGTCGACACTTTTGATGTTAGTGAGGGCCAAAACAGAGTGCGCATGTGCGAAATAGTTAAGTTGCCCAGTATTGCCATCTGAACTTCTCTCTCTTTTCATCCTTTATTTTCCGTTCTGTCACACTCAGGCCGGCGTCCCATGGAGCGGATTATGCGGAAGCGGAACCAGCGGATCGCCAATCACGGAATCGTTCCGATAGAACTTATCGATGAGCTCCATCGGAACGATTCCATGATTGGCAATCCGCTGATTCCGCTTCCGCGTAATCCGCTCCTGGGACGCCGGCCTTACTATTACGATAAACTAATCTAAACTGAATGAAAATTACTACAAATAAATTGTTAATATATTAGAAAAAGCTAAAAATATATAAAAATTTGGAAAAATGAACAATAGTAATTAATTAACCTTAAAATACATAAAATCTATATATATAAAGAAATCTATCAATATATATAAATATATTATACTTATAAAATATTATTAATTGTAAAAATGTTATAAAAATTAATATAATATATAATTTACTTAAAATAAAATGAACAAAAAAATATAATGTGGCAACATATATTTACATAAAAGCAACATAATACATATATAGATAAGATAATTATATTTGTATTATATATAATATTGTATATATGTATATGTATATGTATATGCAAGTGTAAAATAATTTTAAAAATATATTGTTAAATAAAATGAGTGAATATATGCACCTGAGAGAAGAAAGGAAAGATGGCGGCAAGTGGAAAGGTGTGGTGCGAGAGTGCTCCGGAAATTGTGTAACAATAGGAAGGAAGAAGGAAGAGGAGTTTGAGGAGAAAGGAGAAATATTGAAGAACTGAGGTTGGGAAAAGGAGAAAAGAAGAACAAAGAAAGGAGAGGATGGATAAGTGATGAAAAATGAAAGGAAAAGGAGGCAAGTGGAGGATGGGGGGACACAAGGAGAATAACTCGCACGAGAGGAGCAGGAGATGGGTGGAGAAAAAAAGAGACAGGAAGGAAGGAAGGAAGGAATAGGAGGAAAAGGAGGATGAGAGGAATATGGTAGAATTGGAGAAAGAGAAATACTTCGGAATTTCGACCGTGAAAAGTGTACACGTGGCAGAGATCATCATGTCGATAAGGCAGGATGGTAAGGAAGGAAATGGAAATTAGGACAGGTGAGAGGGAAGGAAGGAGAGGGCGCAGTGGAGAGGAAGGAAGCTAGGAAATGACGCGCGCACTACCACGCAGGATACGCAGGATAGTAGGGGTAGCGACATAGGGAAATGAGAAGAAAGTAGAGAACAGAAGCAAGGTGAGAGTGGGAGGTACTCTATACCTAGGGACCTAGGGAGAAAGCAGAAGGATCTGAAGAACGGGAGCAGGTGTAGGAGAGGTGGAAAAAAGGTGCAGGAGGAGTACGGGAGAGGAGGAAGCGGCGCGCGCAATATCACGCAGGAGAGGCGCATAAGTGAGCACATGGCATAAGAGGCAAAAGGCAGAAAGAGGTTACGAGACAAAGAGAAGGCAAGAGCAGGAGAAGGACTAAAAGGAAAAGAAGCAGGAAAAGGAGAGACGGAAGTTAAGAGGGATAAAGGAGGAGACAGCTGAGAAAAACTAAGTCCCGAGGAAAGGACAAGAGAGAAGGCAGAGGAACGGGAAGAAGGGACGAGAACAGCTGTCGGAAGAAGCGGAAGAGAGAGGAGAGGAAAAGGGGATAGGGGATATATGTGTGAATTTGTATTATATGTAACATATTGTATATTATGGTAGAGGAAAGAAGAAAGGAGACTGTAAGGGGTTGGCGTCCTCTGAAAACGTCCCGGCAACCTCAAGGGAAATCTGGAATAAACCTAAGTCTAATATGCACCTGAAAAAAAAATTGACATATGTATGTCTAAAAAATTAATTTAAAATGTGGAAAATAAACAAATCTATTTAATAAAGAAAAAGAATACATTAATATCTTATGTTAAAATAATTTCTGCTCTAAATATACACTGGTCTAAACCATATATACTCTAGAAACAAACGTCTAAAGGGAACATTGCAACGGTCATTTAAATAAAAAGAGAGCAACAAACAGAGAAAGTAAAAAAGAAGATCACGTGACAGTACAGGCCAATCAGGGCCATCTTATCTATTTCGCTCATGCGCACTCCGTTTTGGACCTCATAAAATCAGGAGAGTTGCGCTACTGTATATACTGTGCAAAACGTCAAAGATCGGTAACAAAAGAGTTAATTACTCGTACTTCGGTGCTTTCGGTGATTCACGATAAGGTTGGGCGCCAGGCGCATGTAAATGCGCCACGATATTAATGAAAACGGTACTTAAGGTAACTCTTCAAAATTCGGCAGTGAGTCGCGGGTCTATAGGATGTTAGTCTATGGTTGAGAGAGAGGTATATAGAGAGACATACACATGTTGACATGAATAGACATATATGTATATATTTCAAATACTTAGGACTAACAATTTTACATGTAATAAATATAGATTGACAATATAATTATATAACAAACATTAACATTGAGGCTAGCGGTATGGAAGAATATAATATAATGATATATGCGAATATGTCGATGTGACGGAATCGATCTATTAAATTCTCATTAATTATAACAATGTTGAATACTTTTAACAATTTCGCGACAATATTATAAGAACGGAATTCACAAAGACAAAATCGATAGACGGTTCGCTGTTTACTTATTATCGCGGACACGCGGTATATACACAGAGGTCACGTAAATATAATTCAAGAACCGGTGCGGTATACAAAAAAAAAAGGTAACCATGAAATAACGGTAATTTCGTAACTCTTTCGCACGACTCTCTCGCCGAGTCGAAAATTGAAATATTTAACACACTCGCGGAGAACGGCTGCACGCAAATTCCGAAAATCTAATGATTGAATATGTAATAAACGTTACTTTGAATATAACGGACGATGTTATTTTTCTGAGTCATTAACAATTGATACTCTGGAATTACGAGGAACTAAACCTATTCGTATTCTAGAAAGTATATCACGATATGTATTATCGCATCTTTGTCGCATATTAATCAAAAGTTCGTCGTACTCGAACAATCTCCACAAATCACATCCACCCATGGTACCTAAATACTTCTGAATCTCTGATCGAGACATTTTAACAAACGAAAATTGTCCTTTTACAGGAGGAAGCTGCAACAAGTCCCCAAACAGGAGAATGTGTTTTCTGCCAAAGAAACCATCATCTGTATCTGTCGTATCAAAGATTTCACATAATCGTAGATTGATAAACATAAGTGTCACATTTGAAATCATGGATACTTCATCGATTATAAATAATTCGACATTCTTTAATTTGTCTCTCAAAGTTTTCAAGACCATGTCTGACAATTGCGTATATTTTGGTGTAGATTCATGACTAACGGGTAGTTGAAACATTCTATGGATTGTCAAGCCATCGATATTGAATGCTGCGATACCCGTGGGAGCAGATATGGCAGTCGTTTTTTCCAAATTTATTCTGATCCAATGTTTAATCGTTTCAATTAGAAAACTTTTCCCTGTACCACCCTCGCCACTTACGTACAGTCGCAGAATCTGATTCTTATCTTGTAAAACTTGGCATACTCCATCAAAGACTCTTTTCTGGTCTTCATTCAATTGCGACATTATTTGCGATAAATCAATCGGGTCGTCAATCTTACCAAAATCTTCCAGATCTTTCGTCGCGTCGTCAGCTTCTATCGGATTACAATCCAATTCATCGTCATCGGATTTGTCTCTGTCTGCTGTTTTCAGATCATTTTCGCGCTTCTCAATTAATTCAGCAACGTTCTCAAAAGCTTTCTGTATTTCTTCGAGCCTTTCGTGATATTTCATTGCCTTCGTTAAAACAGACTCTGAATTCTTAAAGGCATCCGTGTAAGTCTCGAATGTACCTTTGGGTTCACTCAAATCTCTCCATGGTTTGAACAGAAGAAGCAGCGAGTAAAA